GCACTAGCTCAAACAAAACTCTATAAAAAAAAATAGATCAGTTCATATCAAACTATTAAATCCAGCTCCATATAATCAGTTAATGAATGCTAAACAGTGGGTAGAGCTGTTCAAAGCCACTAACCCATACCAGCACACACATCTAACTATTCCAGTTTCATATCTTTTCTCATCCCCTCATGAAATTTAATCTATGGCACGAGTCTAGTTGCGATTCCAGGACATTCTTTCCCACCTGATCCCACCTGACTAGGTGCTCCCATGTTCCCTGCAGACAGACTATATTCACACTGTAGATATAAATGTCCAAATCCAACCCACAGATCTGTTTCAGACACCTACATCCAACCCAGGTCACTTTCACATGTGACCCTACATCATTCAGATCCATATAGGATGACCTCCAACTGAAGGAATAATCATTTCTTAACAAGCTTCTCTTCATCACCACGCACAAGCCCAGAGTTCTGTATACATTACATGTTGAAACACTTAAAATATTGTCTGATTTATTACTATAATAAATAATGAATCACAACTGACTCTTAGGTGTTAAACATTGACGACAGCAAACATGTGAAAAGCAGTCAATGGATGTTATGACATTAGAGACAAAAGCAGAAGAGTAGGAAGCTCCTCCAGAGCAGATTACCTCTGTGGATCCAGTAAAGGCCACCTTATCAACATCCATGTGTTTGGCAATGGCAGCTCCAGCTGTTGGTCCCATTCCAGGGACAATATTCACAACACCGTCTGGGAAACCTACCTGCAACACAAGTCAAAAAACAAAACTATGTAAAGACCAAGTGCACCCATTTTTTCTGTACATCTACAGTGTTCTATTTTAAATTAATGCCTTGTGAGTCAATCAATGTGGGGGGAAAAGCTGTGGTGCTCCTGTTTCAGAAACTAGGAGTGAGCCAGAGAAGAAGTGAGCTGAAGACAGCAGGATTCAGAGTTTTATTTCCTGATATTCGGACATCTTGCCTCTGATTGGCCAACAGCAATGCAGCTCTACCACTGACTCTTGTTCTGCAACAATGATGTATCTCTGCAAAACACAAGCCTGGAGTTCTGCTGTGCTGTGGAGTTGCTAATGCTAACGGTTAGCTTTTATTAGCTGAGATCAATGACCGTATATAAAAAATGGACGAACCCTACATGTCGTTACTCGTAGGTTTCTGATGAGCTGAATTGAAACCCAGTGAGCGGTTCCCATCACAGCCATCTTGACCATGTAATGCGTCTCGTCCCTCCAGCAAAATACAAACTGAAGCTGAGAGCGGCTGTGAGGGTGGGAGTGATTAATGACACCCATCAAAGTCTAAGGCCATGTAGCCACAAGATAACTTGCCTAACCGAAGCTTGGTGGAGACCTACTATGAACTGATGGTGCACAGTAGGGTGAGTCCATAAATGGTAATTAACAGTGTGACATAGATTTGTATGGCTTTTTTTCTAGTTGAGCATTTCACCGACTGTTTTCTATCAACATCTAATGGAGAATATTGGGGTAGAAGACTATTGTTTGCCTGCAAGTGAAACTTTGTGACCAATCGTATTTAAAAAATAACAAAAAGTGTTTCTGAGTGATCCTATACTTTAAGAAAAAATAAGAATGCTGAAAACTCTCGTTCTCCACCATAAAACATCACACGATTTTAGCTAGCACACTATTATAGAGCTCCGGACCCCACGTGACTCTCAGTTAGAAGACGCCATATTGGCAATCAAAAAAGGTAAACAAACACGGATCGTAAACATGAACGGGATCGGCTTGGATTTTACTTTGTCGGAGTTTACTTCACACTTTAAAACCGAAGAAATCGTTTTATATAGTCAGAAATTAAATAGACTAAACATCTCCGACCCTTACCGTGCCCCTGGGATACTTTTTAAAAACGCCAGAAGCTGTCGGAGCGGACTTCTTACTGGACCTGGCCGGGGAACCATAGACTGTACATACGGGGAACCCCTTGGGAATTCCCCGGAGGAGCGAGTAAGGTCTAGCTGCGGACGTAGCCCCTGGCCAAACACGCCCCTATGTACAAAACACGTGTGCATGTACGAAGACGAGAACTCGCATGCATGTTGCAACAGATGGAAATGACGTTTCAGGTAAAGACAGATTTATATTTTTACAACTTGCGAAGATGTTGTACTAGAAAATTTTAAATATTTGACCTACATTTCAGTAACATTTTAGGTTTGTATTAATAACACTCATCTTAGTCAAAATAACACATAAATATATCCAGTAAAATATAATGCATTTCATTAAGAGGCATTTGTATTGGAAATGATAACAGTTCATTTCTGCTGCTAATAATGTAATGGTGGCATGTCTAGTATGTACAGGTTAGCGGGGTGTTCCATTTTGCCTTGGCCCCCAAAATGCCTCGGAACGGCCCTGGGTGTGTGACTGAGTTTTGAAGGTGATCTGAATTGTATCAGATGTATAAATATTACATGTGTATAACTTATTGTTTTATACAGGTAAAAACGTGTAGTGGAGATAAATCTACCTACATTTTACCTACAGTTTACTTTCAAGCTTTGTTTTGTTTTTATTTGAGTATTGTCCTGTCCTGTCTGTCTCTCATCTTCCTGCATCTCCTCTAAACTCTCCAGAAAAGCTGCTGCCTGGATTCTTACTTTTTCACCTCATCAGTTACTTTTGAGCAGATCAAAGGGATCTCCTGACGGCAAAGCGGAGAGCCGTTTCGATGCTGCGTCAGAGAGGTGAAATCACCGCAGCACACGATGAGCTGAGCGCATCAGGAACGATTAAATGACAGAGTACCAGAGGATATGAACAGAGGATTATTAACAGTGTTAATAATGTTTTGTTGCGCCACTTTGAGCATGTATCGTGCGCCGGATGCAGCGGGCGCACCAACGATCAGCGCTCCGCGTCCTCTCCGCTCATCAGAATCCTGCTTCGCTGAGAGTCCATAAATATTTTAATATAGGCAGAAACTGGATCTTTACCTGAAAGATATCTAGGTCCCCAGACCCCTGCTCCTGGATGAAAAACCGGACATTTTTAATCAATGTAAGGTTCAGATTTATGTATAAATATTGTGTTTTATAGAAGCACGCTGTAGGCAGTGAGGGAAATCCAAAATCCTCCTCCAACATGTTTGCTTACTCCCAAGTCCAGCTGTTAGAGATCCCATCTGACCGGGATACGATGGTGTGTGAAATCGGCTCTTGTGTAGTTTTTTTCATGTGGTCAGACACCACACTGGGACCAAAACAGGTACATCTGTGATTTATTTTTTATTGTCCTGTTTGTAGTCTCATGTTTTGAAAATAGATGTGACAATTAAAAAATCCTGCCGTGTGAACCAGGCCCACCGGGCCTCAAGTCCACACCAGGGAAACTCAAACTGCCTCACCAGTTCATGTATGGGTCTGATTCGGTGTCTGGGTACGCGTACTTGCACATGGAACTGGTACCGACTAACCTCTCGCTGGAGTTACAGCAACAACCAACTTTGCAGAAAACTCTGAAAACGAAGTGTGTGTAGCAGTAAAAGTGATGGTACCACTTTGGCTCGGGTATGCATGACCCAGCCACTGATACCGTTGGTTCCTAAACCTGAAGCAGCAGGTAACATGATGCACATACAGAAAGCACTTATATCAAATAATGCAGACTTTGAAACGTTCCACAGCGGGTCATTTCTGTATTCATTCGTTTTCCAGAGTGATTTTCTCACACTAGGATTCAGCTAACTGCCCCAGAGAAAAAGAAAATACCTCTTTGATGAGACTGGCCACATAAAGGGCTGTGAGTGGCGTCTGCTCTGCCACCTTCATCACAACGGTGTTGCCAGTCGCCAGGGCGGGGCCTAATTTCCAGGCTTGCATCAACAGAGGGAAGTTCCACTACAATGATAAAACATTGACTTACTTTGATGTAATGGATGTTTTTCCTCTGATTTCATTGGACCTGTTCTAATTTCCGTATTCACCGGTATGATCTGTCCACAGACTCCAACAGGTTCGTGTCTGGTGTAGCAGAAGTAATCTCCATCAATAGGAATGGTCTTACCCTCCCACTTATCAGCCCAGCCAGCGTAGTACCTAAACACAACAATCACAATTCAGAAGCTTCTCTCGTGGTATTTGATGCTTCTTCTGCACAAAAAGTAGTGTTGTGCAATAAAACAAGTAAACACTAGCCTGTTGTTTATTGTTGATCGTTTATTTTTTTGTGTGTGCACATTTCCATTTTAAGCCTCCAGTAATGTCATCTAGAAGTCATGTGAGCGCCTCTACTCACAGAAACCCATTCAAACCACAATGCTTGATCCAGCTCGTTTTGATGGCGTCACTTTTACCATGAATGGCGTTGTTCAATAAAGGCATTCACAGTTTCTATAACTTGATTTTTATGAGTCACATTTGTGTGCAAAGGGGCAATAACACCACTATAGGTGATAAACTACAAGTTTCATCTTTATTCCTCCGATTTTACCCACACCTACCAGGCTAAAGGCTCTTTTTTATGTGACACTTTCTCCTGTTTTTTACCTGAGACATTTAATCACCATGGGAACATCCACGCTAAAGGCCACAGCGTAAGGCTTCCCATTGTCCAGAGTCTCCAGTTCCTGTGGCAAAAGTCACACAACTCATCAGCGTCCATGTTTGTGAAACTAGGCTGAAACATGTTTAAAGATGGGCTTTATAGCAGTGGCGGCTGGTCGAAAGACTTCTAGGTGGGGCTGTGTGTGAAAAGGGTTCTCGTCCTAGTCCTTTATGAACAGTGTTGGGGATTAACGGAATACAAGTACGCCATTACATATTTAGAATACTGATTATGAGTAACTGTATTCTGTTACTGTTACTATTTTTAAACATAGAATACAGTTACTTTTGTAATACTTGTGTCTTTTCAACTTTCCATTCGAAAGATGAATAAATATTTCTGCGCTGTTTAGAATATATAGTCTGGCCACGGTCCCTTGACGGCACTCAGCTTGGGGCTGCCTTTTAAACTGTCTCTGCATACTATTGGATAACAAACAACGTGACATAATCACCACTACCGATGTCAGTCAACGAGGCAGTCCGCCTTGCTCCGTCAAAGATGCTAAGACATCCTTTTCTAAATAAACTGAAGGAACTCTATCTGCTCTTGACTCAAAGAAAAACTCAAGTCAAAATATTCCAAAGTTGATGAAGTTATTTGAAATGATCCATCGTCATATTTGTATCAGTACACGCCAACAACAGAATGCTGTGACTGGCCCAGCAAACCAATAGTGCGCTGTGATTGGACCTCTAAAGATGTCAGTCAACGGGGCAGTCTGCCATTACATCATGAAGGAACTACATAAAACATAAAAAAGCATTTAAAAATACATCGTTTTTCTAGATAAACCTGCTGTGAGTCGGTTAGCAGCTCCTGCAGAAAAGTTTCACTTTTTTACAGAAACACAAATATAATCTATTGAATCTTTGATAAATAAAGTAAAGTAATTAAATTATATTTATTTATTCAGTCAGCACATGTTTAGCATCAATATGCCCTCTGTTTTCCTGTGGGAGGAGCTACCAACTCGTATACCAACATTTAATAGACAAATGCTGCTTTTAAGGGAAAGTATTTAAAATACAGTACCAGAATTAAGCAAAATAACAGAATACATTACAAAGTACATTTTAAAGCAGGTATTCAGTATTCTGTAATTAAATACATTTACAAAGTATTCTTCCCAACACCGATTATGAATATTTAAATTAAATGGTGGGAAGACGATTTTATATAAAAAAAATGTTTTCCCTTCACATCATGGAGGTTGGTGCCTCAGTGCCCCCCAACCAGCTGCCACGGCTTTAATGTACAGCAAATAAAAACCAGATAAAAACGTAGCCTTCTTAGAGAGGTATAGTTCTGTACACAGTCGTGAGGCTGAAACATGGGTGACCAAACGTACCTCTGAGGCTGTTTGAGGGCATTTTGTAACTATGACTTACAGCCAGGTAGGCAGCGTCCCTCTCAATAGCATCAGCCAATCGACTGAGCAGCAGTCCACGATCAGAAGCATCCATACGACGCCACGGTGAACCAAACCTGAAGGCATCACGTGCTGCCTTCACTGCCTTGTCTACATCTGCCTGAAAGCACAAACATGTATCAATGTTGTTTTTAGGGTAATTAGTACAAACTAATTCTAAACTGGTGGCTCACCAGAACACAATCAGTTCACAGTAGGGCTGCACCAACTACAGAAGGTTTTCAAACCTTTCCCTGGTGGATGTAAGATGGCAATCAAAAGTTTGGAGTTAATATAAGAATGTTAAGACACAAGAATGATAGCCCACATAATAAGAGTTATATAATTTGGTTATTTATGTGTCTAGAGTTGGCGTGTAAAATGTTTTATTTCATTACAGTGTTTGAGTTTGAGATGAATGACGGTATGAATGTGTTTGGTAAAATGATAAAAATGTTACAGGAAGCTCAGTATGATTTTTGCAGGCAGGAATTTATTCTAGATTTTGGATGACAGATCATGTTTGGTTGTGGGAAAAGGGGCTTAAAATTGCTCATTTGAATGTGTGCAGTTTGAGAAATAAGGTGGCGGATATTCAAGAAATTTTACAAAGTTATAATTTACATGTGTTAGCAATATCAGACACACATTTAGATGACACAATTAATAATGAAGTAGTAGATATTAGGAGCTATAATATTTATAGACTAGATAGGAATTTGTATGGTGGAGGTGTGGCCTGTTATGTTCAAAATCAGATTCCAGTTAGAGTAAGACCAACAGAAGTTGAGACACTATGGTTAGAATTGCAGATTCCTCATTTAAAAGCTGTCATTATTGGATGTTGTTACAGACCACCGAATGCTCCTATTTAATGAATATGAATTGAACACAATATATCAACATGTTTACAAAACAAATCATTCAACCACTATTGCACTTATTCATATAACTGATTATTGCTTAGAGAATATCGATAATAATAAGCTAATTGTTTCTATATTTCTTGATTTAAGTGCGGCTTTTGAAGTTTTAGATCATGATATTTTATTACAAAAACTTAAACACTATGGATTTCATACATCTGCTCTCAACTGGACTAAAAGTTATCTTACTAATAGAGATTATAAATTTTATTTCAATGGCAGTTTTTCTGAAAAAGGTCAGATGGAATGTGGTGTTCCACAGGGAAGTTGTTTGGGACCTCTTTTGTTTTCTATTTTTTTGAATGATTTTCCGTGGGTGCTGCAACATGCAACTACAGCAGTATATGCAGATGACATTACTGTTTTAGCTTCAGCACATACGGAGAGTGCATTGAATGAAATATTAAATAAAGAGTTAAGAACAGTCGAGCAGTGGATAACTGCTAACAAACTAGTGATTAATGCAGGAAAAACTAAATGCATGGTAGTTGGCTCCAAACATACTTTACAGACGATGCCAAAGTTACATTTAACTCTGAGTAACAATGTAATAGAACAACTAGAAGAAGTAAAATTACTGGGAGTAATAGTTGATTGTAAGTTATCATGGACAAGCCAGAATAATTATGTTTTACAGAAAATGGGGAGAGGTATGGGCATAATTAAATTTTGTTGCAAATAAATACCACACTACTTACTTAAAAGCCCTTGTTCAATTGTTAGTGCTTTCTTGTGTAGATCAAGCATCTATTATTTGGTCCAGTACAAGCGAAAATAATTTGCATAAGCTACAAGTAGCACAAAATAAAGCTGCTCGTATTGTTTTAGGCTGCCCTTACAGAACAAATGTGGGAACTATGCATGAAAAACTTGATTGGCTCAGTGTGAAGAGTAGATTGAAGTATTTCTTGGTAACAATTGTGAGGAAAATTATAATTACAAAAAAAACAAAAATTATACATAGCAAATTATTGTTTTTCTCTGATAATCATACTTATAATACACGACAGATAAATGAGATGAAAGGTGTTTTACCACGCAGTAGAACAACTCAAATTCAACGATCATTTCACTATAAAGCTATGATTGCATGGAATGCATTACTTAGATTTTTAATATTTGAAAGTAATAACATTTCTTTTCAGAAGAAACTGAATTTTTTTGTTTACACACTTAATTGTATAGTGACTATGAACTCTGTAACGAAGGATTGGGTATCTGGGTTTGAGGTTGAATACTGGATATCGATGGACTATGATACGAAACAATGGACATGAGGTCACTATGATACGAAACAATGGACATGAGGTCACCATTCTGTTGTATTTTATTTTCAATCTTTATTGGTGTGATTAACTCCTTTCCCGATATTAGTTTATATATGTAATTTTGTTCTAGATATGGGATTTCATCTTGAGCTACTGGGATTATGTGAATTGGGATGTGTGTGTGTGTGTGTGTGTGTGTGTGTGTGTGTGTGTGTGTGTGTGTGTGTGTGTGTGTGTGTGCGCAGGTATTTATTTTGTGTAAACAATTGTATGAAAATGTAAGAGACCCCAGGATGACTAGCATCTGCACTTAGGCAGAAGCTAATGAGGATCTCAATAAAACGAAACGAAACACAGGTTATGATGAAAACTTTGTGAGAAATCTCCTAATTTGAAGAAAATCTCAAAGATTTTCAGTGGTGTCATTTCTCTGACTGCAGTATATTGTAGTGGAGGACATTAATTGAACCCGTGTAGCTATAAATGGGGCGACTGTGGCGCAGGAGTGAAGTGCACGTAATCGGAATGTTGCAAGTTCGAGCACCGCTCAGTTTGTCGCCGTCATTGTGTCCTTGGGCAAGACACTTCACCCCCCTTGCCTGCTGGTGGTGGTCGGAGGGACCGGTGGCGCCAGTGGTCAGCAGCCTTGCTTCTGCCGGTGTGCCCCAGGGCAGCTGTGGCTACATTGTAGCTTATCATCACCAGTGTGTGAATGTGTGTGTGTGAATGGGTGAATGACTGTTGTAAGCACCTTGGGGGTTCCAGGACTCTAGAAGGCGCCATTTCAAATCCAGGGAAATTAACCATAAAATAACCATTTTTGTTTGAGATGGTTTATTCTGTCAGCCCTGATCAAAAGTTTAAGACCACTTGCAAAATGGCTAAAATTAATATTTAGTATATGGGTGGATCCTAAGGTTCCAAATGGAACTTCAAAATGCAACAAGAATAAATGGGAGTGAAACAAGATCTACCCATCTATAGATATAGATATAAAATTATTGGAAAATGATGCGCCTTAGCTCCATTTGTTGGCTGGAGGTGCACCTTCACGAATGAGAGGCGGAAGTGTCAGCCACTAGATGGTGCCTTCAATTAAACATGCTAACTTTTGTGAAAGCACAGTATTAATAAACATTAACAGTCTAGCCAACAGCGAGAGTCCACTGCATTCACAAAGTGACAAAAGGTTTAATGGTTTCTACAAACAGCTGTTTCTCACCACATCAGCCTCTGCTACTTGACAGATGACCTCTCCTGTTGCTGGGTTGACGGTAGGGAAGGTTTTCCCACTGATAGCATCATGCCACTCATTGTTTATGAACAGCTGAAACAAAGAACATTAGACATTTATATTTTTATTATTGCTAAAGAAATATTTACCAGTATTTACAATGTTTTTTTTAATGAAACACGAAAAACCAACATGAAAAGTATGAGCCTGTGCAGCACTCAATATTTAGATGGGGCTCCCCTGGCCTGAATTACTGCAACAATGAGTTAATCAGTCTGTGGCACTGCTCAGGTGTTATGAGAGCCCATGTTGTTCTAATAGTGGCCTTCAGCTCTTCTGAATTGTTGGTCTGGCATATGGCCTGTTCCTCTTCATAATACCCCTCAGATCTTCTATGGGGTTAAGGTCAGTAGAGCTTGATGTCAAGAACAGGGATACCATGGTCCTTAAACCAGGTGCGGTAGCTTTGACGCTGTGTGTAGGTGCAGGTGAAGCACTAACAGTTCTACTATGCAGATTTTGCACTGTACGTGCTTCTCTTTTATCTTTGTAAAATGCTCCCAAACTTTTGAGCTACGTTACCAGCTCACCATGATGTCTGGTTTATCCGGTGACATGACAGCTGACCCGGATGGCCACTACTGCACATGTGCCTCGAGCAGAAAGACAGCAAACAGCAGAGTGCCAAAGCAGGCAAAATAAAAATAAAAATAAAATTCTTCATAGAATAAACGTCGTCTTCCTCTGCTTATCCGGGTCCGGGGACAGCATCCCAACTAGGGAGCTCCAGACCGTCCTCTCCCCAGCCACCTCCACCAGTTCCTCCGGCAGGACCCCAAGGCGTTCCCAGGCCAGATTGGAGATGTAACCTCTCCAACGAGTCCTGGGTCGACCCGGGGGCCTCCTGCCGGCAGGACATGCCCGAAACACCTCCCCAGGGAGGTGTCCAGGAGGCATCCTGACTAGATGCCCAAACCACCTCAACTGACTCCTTTCGATCCGGAGGAGCAGCGGTTCTACTCCGAGTTCCTCCCGAATGTCCGAGCCCCACACCCTATCTCTAAGGCTAAGCCCGGCCACCCTACGGAGGAAACTCATTTCGGCCGCTTGTATTAGCGATCTCATTCTTTCGGTCATCACCCAAAGCTCATGACCATAGGTGAGGATTGGGACGTAGATCGACCGGTAAATCAAGAGCCTGGCTTTCTGGCTCAGCTCCCTCTTCACCACGACAGATCGGCTCAGCGTCGGCATCACAGACGCCGAACCAATCTGCCTGTCGATCTCCCGATCCCTCCTACCCTCACTCGTGAACAAGACCCCAAGATACTTAAACTCCTCCACTTGAGGTGGGACCTCTCTCCCGACCCGGAGTTGGCAAGCCACCCTTTCCCGGTCGAGAACCATGGTCTCTATTTTGGAGGCGCTGATCCTCATCCCAGCCGCTTCACACTCGGCCGTGAACCTACCCAGCAAGAGCTGAAGGTCAGAGCTGGATGAAGCTAGGAGGACCACATCATCCGCAAAAAGCAGAGACGAGATTTTCCTTCCACCAAACTCGACACACTCCACACCATGGCTGCGCCTAGAAATTCTGCCCATAAAGCTTATGAACAGAACCGGTGACAAAGGGCAGCCCAGGCGGAGTCCAACCCTCACTGGGAACAGGTCCGACTTACTAATAGAATAAACACTGTAGATTATTACATTTATTGTCTACTATTTTTTATTGTCAACTATTTTTTATTGTCGACTATTTTGATTGTCGACGTCATTGTGATGAATCGACTAATGTGGCAGCACTAATTGTTTGTACACTTTTTTTTGTGTGTGTCCTGTCTGACTGTGAAGCAAAGAGAATTGATGTCTGAATGCTGGTGACAAGTCTTACAGATTTACTCTCAGGTGGAGCATCAAAGCGTCTGCTTTTAATGTCACGCCTGATACTTAAAACTTTATTGTTATTGTTTTTGAATGCTTTGTAATTCCGACCAGACACAGAGACAGAGGTGAAAGAGAAAGGAAGAGACAAGGGGGGGGGGGGGGGGGGTCCACAAAAATAAACAATAATGAACAAGAATCTGCTTCTAGACCTGCAGAAAGAGACAAGAAAAAAAGCAGAAAAAAAGGGGGACACAACAACAACAATACAACAAGATCAAGCTATCACTGCGTCAACTTGATGAAGAAATATATAATCAACATTGTTTCACTGAACAATCACACAATATCATAATTTACGCGTCAAATAATACAACCACAAACACAGTTGGACCTTTATTATTATTATTATTTATTTTTCTGTTATTTATTAACATACTATTTTATACATTTAGTTACTTATTCCATCTTATTCACATGAAGGCATCATATTTTAGCTACTCACACACACATCTATGGGTGCACTAAAGTTTGTCTCATGGAACGTACATGGAGCTGGCTCCATAGAGAAAAGAATAAAGATTTTTGATCAGTTAAAAAGAGTGCAAGCAGATGTAATATTATTACAAGACACTTAGATCTGCCACATCCGCAGATGAACTTAAAACACCCGAGTTTCCCAGCATGTTCTCTGCCTGCTATAACTCTAGGCAAAGAGGTGTAGCTATTTTAATACACAAAAACATAAATTTCACAGTATTGGACACAGTCTCTGATCCAGAGGGTAGATTTATAATGTTAAAAATATCTGTACAGAACCAAAGCTTATGTATTGTCAGCATATACTGTCCAAATATTGATGACCCTTCATTCTTTCATAATTTTTTCTCTGTAGTTAGCTGGCACTGGGCGGGGGCCTGGGGGCTCGGGGTGTGGGGGTGGCCGGCCCCGTGTGGGGATCTGGGCGGGGCCTTGGGGGTCAGGTCCTGACGTATGCTGCCGGGAAGAAGGCATGAACATGCAGCAGTGCCTGGCCCGGGTTCAGGGGCCTCGGGTAGACCTTGGCTCCTCTACGGTCCCATCACAGGGGAGGGGGAGGTCCACGAGGGGGAGGACCCAACCTTACCTGGATGTCCTATGTCTTATATATTCTGGAAGTTGTGCAAATGCAGGGATGGGCATAGATATTCTTCTGGGGTGGGGCTGGGTTGGTGCCCTCGGATTCCGTGAGGCTCTGCCATGCTGCTGCTTTGGGCCCTGGCAGGATGGGCTGGGGTCTCCATGCCCTGGGTGGCATTTTGACAACAGAGGTGCCTATTGGGGCCAGTGGGGGAGCTGGCTCCCTGGAGGGCTAAGCCCAACCAGCCATTCCTCCCCATCCCCGCAAATTTTTCTCCTCCTGCTCCCTCACATCATCACACAAACATGCACATAGGACTTTGGGGGGTGGACAAGTCAGGAAGTGTGGGTATGGACCCCATTTCTGCATTTCTGTGGCAACCTGCCCCCAATTTTATTTGCACCTTATACACTTCCACCGACGACATTCCACGCAAACACACACTTAGGGCCTTGGGAGTGAGCACATCCAACGGCACTTAGCAGGGGGATTTCTCAGCTTCCTCCCGAGTGCCGGTGCCCACTTCCAATTTTAAGCTGCACTTAGACACCGAGGGCTGTGGGTGCAAGTGGGGTGGTGTGGTGGCATCAGCTGGCATAGGCCAGACAATGCCCGCACTGCCCGCTCACCACAGCCATGGAATACACCTCATCAACATTCACTAACACCATATTGGAGCAGGCGGAGGGAGACTAGGGGTCTTAGCACACCTCTGTTGTCGCTTGGCTTCCTGGGGCTGGAGGCTAGGAGGGAGATCTGGCCGTCCGGTTGGGGTCTAGGGTGGTGGATTGCTGTGCTCAGCGTTGGGCGGGGGAGCCTTCTCATCAGCACCCCAACAGAAAGGGTTGAACTCTTGGAACCGGTAGTGGTTGTACCCCATGTGCAGCAGTACCGGGACCAGAGTGAATAGGGTGTGTATGGGGAGCATGAGTGGGTGTCCGGCGTGCATTTTTGTAAGTCTTTGGTTGTATGTGTATGTGTGAGCATGAGAGAGGGAGTGTGTGACTGTGTTTGTGTATGACTGTGTATGTCAGGTGGGGCCTTTGACTCCTCCCTTCTCCTGGGACTTCTTTTGGTGATATAGATCTTCGTCTCCCCTCTCCCTGCCACACCTGGTGTGGGGTGCGCTGCCTTGGTCTGCCTGGGTCGTGGCTCCCGGGTCACAGAGTTTAAGATTTTTGGCATCTGCCTGACCAATCCCGGTAGCTGCCTGGTGGGGTCTGGGTCCCTGGGCTCTGCTGGGTCCCCGGCAGGGCTGGTCGCCCCTGGGTCCCGGGTCATTGGGTCCCGGGCTTGGCCGGCTAGGGGGTGGGAGGCTGCGGGCGGGCCTGTGGGCTTGCCGCCGATATCTCCCGGGACTCTGCCGGCTGCTGGTTGTGGCCCCCCGGTGCGATACTCTGTGCCTCTCGAGGGGAGCGAGGGCTTTTCTGATCGCAGTCTCCCTGGAATTCCTGTGCTCTGGGGCAACTCCTGGATCTCTGGGACTTGGAGCTCCCTCTGTCTCCTGCACATCTTTAGGGGGCAGATCTGTGGCCCCTCACACTCTCTATTGGACACTCCTATAGAGAAACGTTACATAAACAAGCGCGTGTACACACACAGTTGCTCACATGGTGCTCTCATAAGTATGGACTTGGGCACGTTCAACACAGGTCTTAAGGCTACGGTGGGCACTTAATGCACTGTGATTTATTATCGTGTGGTTGTTCAGTTAAACATTGTACACTTTTTTCTACCACACTTGGACACAGAGCTGTATGAACAGCCAGTCTCTTTAGATCTTTTGTGTCTTGCCCTCCTTGTGCAAGGTGTCAATGGTCGTAACGATGAAACATTGATGTCCATCCATCGTCCCACGGAGGGAAAATACAGGGTTAAAATTTTTCATAGGGATCATAAATTATTACAATCTCACTGCAAAATGCACATTGAAATTTAAAAAGTTCACATAAAATGTATACAGGAAGCCTATTAAAAGGCTAAAACCTCTTTAATTCATTCCACAGGGTGAATAATGTCACAAAAACAAGCAATTTTGAATGACAAACTGGTATGTATTACTACACCAAGATTTGAGACTTGGTCCAGCTCTATTCCATTATAGAAGATTTGTGATCTGATTGGTTAATGATGCAGTTTAGAGAAATACATACACATTTTTTATTGTTCAGCAAAAGGCATGAGTCCCTGAGCCAGTGATGTACAAGAGATAAGGGCTCTGTGAAGTTAGAGGCAGCTTGTTGACCGTCAATTGAACACAAAGTGAGCAGATAGATTATGAATAGTAGGGGGCTGAGGACAGAACCTTGAGGAACCCCAGATAACACTCAAGTAAATTTGGAGGTAATGGTGTTGAACTGAATAAATTGAGTTTCACCATTTACTTGAATCACTTAAATGGAATGTGAGAAATACTCATTGTGGATTTTTATCACCAATGTACTATGGGGCAAAAAAGTATTTGTAAGATTGTGTAAGTCAGTGATTCCCAACGGGGTGTACTCGTACCCCTAGTGGTACGTGAGCACCTTACAGGGGGTACGTGAAAATATTTAGTATTGTTTTTATTATGTTTTGAACATTAAATGTTATTTAAATTATCTACATTTTATACTTAAGAGTAATTTGTTCAGCTGCCATTCATCAGGTATGTGAGTATTTTCATGTACATTTTGACATGTATAAATGTTTTATCAATGAAAAGAGCCACATAAATGAGTAAAATAATGAACCATTTATTATCTTCAGAGAAAACTAGAAGACATCAGAGCTTAGTTGGGGTGTTTTCTTTTAAATTAGTTTGGATGGAACAAAAAAATAACTTGTTCTATAGCTTGATCTCATATCAGCTTTAGAGGTCATGTGTTTCTAATTTTCCACATTATCCTGCTCCTCACAACGCTCCTTTTTCCTCATGAACAAGTCCATTCTGGCTGTCCTATGTGTGGGGACTTCTACATCAATGTTTCTACAACTGTGGTCCAGAGTTTAGAAAACAACACAAATACTAATTTTCACAAAGTTTGCTTCCTGCTTTTTAATGATGGTGGTTTTGAATAAACTTCAAAAAGGTCTGAGGAGTGATTTCTGACACACATTTCAAAAAGTGAAAATTCATGTGATATAGATTCATTAGATTAGATTGGTGAAACATTTCAGACCTTGATTTCTTATAATACTGATGAGTACGTAGGGCTGTAGTGAAGCCTCGATGACGTTGACGGCTCGATTCTAAAAATTTGTCGACGTCAGATCCGGTAGTCGACGCACCACGCCCACTTGTTGCATCCCCAGGAGTTTGTAAATAGAGGAGGAATCTGCCCGTTTTTCCTCTAGTTCGCCCTCTTCTCCACCTTCACTAACATCTCCACCAAATACCAAAGACCCGGAACAATGTCCGTCCGCTACTAGATTGCTTTCCTATTTTGCCCGCCTTCGTCTCCCGGCAATGGACAACAACTTCCGGGGTCAGATGCGCTGCTCCGTCTCTACCACAGATGTAGAAAATCACCGGGAGCGTTTCTCCCTTCATAAAGGAGCTTTTTTCAGACATTAGGAGAGCTGTTTGGTGGTAGCAGTCTCTCCTCCGTGCTGGTCTGTTTGCTGGGTGTTTTTGGTTTAGTTAAACTTGGTAACTTGAACTTAACGTTGGTAAAGCTACTGTTAGCATTTTTGCTAACAGCTTCTTGCGTTTGGATAAGCGGTTACGTTTTGGTTTAGAGTTCATCTTTTTTGTGGTGTAAATCTCCTTTTTATTACATTTAGAGTGTTGTGGGTTTTCGGTTTAGCGTAAAATACCACCTGAGTTTGGTTTAACCACCCAGTTTAGAGTTTGGACCTTTGGAGATTCTTATTTTGGTCCAGAACCCTGTAATCTTTGCCCAGTGGGACATCCCTAGTTATTTGTACTTTGTTTTAATTCCCCACAGGCAGAATTAGTTTTATTATTCCCAACCTGTGGATGGAAAGATTTATGTTTTTTTGTAGTTGTAAATAAACCTGATCATCATTTTAACTTTTAAATCTCACGTTATTGTCCCTTCCTTTTTGCACACGAGCCAAACTCCCCAGGAAGGGTCGTAACACCACTCGCCTCACGCACATAAGTGACCAAAACAAAGCAGCATGGAGACACTCCGTCTCCAACCACCTCTCAGGCAGCAGCCTGCAGTTCCAAGTTCTACACGTCACCAGAACATAATCAACCGCAACACAATAAAAGCAGTGTTATACAAAATGGAAAACCTGTAGTGTTTATTCTCTTACAGTACCAATCAATCAAATTTTTTGAGGAATTTATTAGAGATTTTTTGGTTTTTATTAACTGTGCAATAGAAAAATAATCATTAGATTAATTGTGTAGTCATTCGAATTGTCGACTAGTCGATAAAATAATTGTCAGAATAATCATTTTAAAAATAATCGTTTACCCCCAGCCCTATGATTACGGTTACACAGGACATACCAAAATTCTGTGTTTCAGAAAACTAAAATATTGAGAAAAAGCAAAATACTGGAAACTCTTGGTGTCCCACCCTACTCAGCAAATTAAGTCAAACACTTGCAAAGAGTTCCTGAGCCTCTAAATCAGGGGTTCGTCGCCTGTATGTTCTAGGTATTTCCCTGCTGCCACACACCCGACTTGACAAGCTTTGCTTAAAAGCTATTGATGTCATTCGGAGAAGATAATGCAAACTTCAGGTGCACTGAAGAAGAGACATTGAAAACATGTGGGACAGCGGATCCAGGTCGAGAAGCCCTGGTCTCACTCTGGGTCAGTAGGCTACAGCCATGGAGGGCCATGGGGGCTGGACACATCCCAAAGACAGTAGTTGTGTCCGCAAGATCCGGAAGCCACAAAAGGTCCCTTCCAACGGTGTGGTGATACGTGTGACTTAATAAAAACAATGCAAGGATCAATTCATGTGTGAGAGGTTTTGAATAAAACTTGACTAATAAAATAACAAACCACACAGTGACGTCAAAGGTGGGTGTCCCCCTCACCTCTTCGGACCTCAACATAACTGTATCCACCTCTGGGGGCAACACCTAAGAACTCGCTAAACAAACAGTTAAAAAAGTTTAAACCACCACGTGAAACCTGGTGTAGATGTTTCTTTAAGCTAACGTGTTGTTTCAAACTGCAGCGTGTTTGTGCTCTGAACAGTAGTGGAGTTTGGACCAATGACCTCATAAAACACACATTTTTCGTGACGAGGCTGAAGTTAGCTTCCGATTCCAGATTCCAATTTGGGAAACGGCTAAAGGGCGATTACACCCAATTTTTCTCTACTCTGCTCTAGCTGAAAAACTACAACAGCCACACTGTTCAAACCTGTTCTTGAATATTCTACAATAATAGCAGATGGCATACAACCTTGTTTGGGATTTGTAAAACCTTTCCCTGATTTGTGAAACTTCAACAAAGCCTGATTTATGCGTTTTTTCAGCATCTGGTCAACAATGGAACAGCTGTAGCTCAAAAACTACAACAGCCACACTGTTCAAACCTGTTCTAGATTATTCTACTATAACAGTGTGGCTGTTGTAGTTTTTCAGCTAGAGCAGATGGTCAGAGTAGAGAAAAAAGAAGCTGAAATCGGAAGCTATCTTCAGACTCGTTTTTTCGTGCTTCTACGATGGAAATATTCCCTCTTCACTGAACACCGACTCCTGACCATCGACATCTATACTCTTGACAAGTTAAAGGTACAAACGTTGGGCCACCGCTCCGTGACATTTCTACGCATTTAGAGCAACAAGTAGGCTTGTGTCCAGCCTGTCCGATAACTCTTACCCTGTTGTAGTGGACTTCAGGCTGGCTGTTGGGCGCTGGGATGGCGCTGCTATAGTGACAGACTGACAGTCGGTTGAGGGGAAGAAAAGCTCGATAAAAAACTGCACGAAGCATGATGTTTTCATGCGCAGCTCTACGAGCAACAACCAGGAACTGGGCTTTACGCGTGCTTGTGTCTTTTTCAGGTCGTCAGCGCTGACGCTCTGCTGCCCCCTAAAGGCCAAGCCACTACACTGACTGACTGACTGACTGACTGAATGAATGAATGAATTAATTAAGTAATTAATTAAGTAATTAATGAATTAATTAAAAATTACTTAGACTATGCAGTGTTTGTACAATTTTGAGCCTTAGGTCAGAGTAGCTAGTGTTATCCAAATGGAAATGGACCAAAGCCTAAACTGAGTCTTGCCCATCACAAGTTGCTACACAGCATCTGAGTTGTGTATGGTAAAATCTGACGAACGACCGAAAAAAGGGAACTTTGAACACTTCGAGCAAAAGGGGCAGGTGCTCACGACGCCTATCAAGAAGGATGTTGTGGTCCACAGATGGAGCATCACCAGAGCAGATGTTTTGCCTGAATCCTGTATTGAGACCAAACTCATTTAAATCCTTAATCAGTGCCATCTCAGTGCTGCAGTGTTGTCTAAAGTCGAACTGGAAACCAACCAGCAAGTTTTCTGTCTCCAAAAAGTTGTTCAGCTGGATCATAACTGTTTTTCAGTAATTTCCCCAAAGAGGAGATTATTGGTCTGTAGTTATTCAACACTAAATGATCTAATTTTCTTCTAGAAGAGACTTAACAGCAGTTTTCAAGGATTTATAAAAATACCTGACAGCAATTAACACTTTTCAGTACATCAGCTTTTAAGCAACTAAAACATTTTTAAGTTACCGGTAGTTGGGCAGGTCAAGTAATAGGTCAAGTGCCTCGGTGCTGCAGATTCCAGATTTTCATATATTTTTCATCAGTATGTTTTTGAACCTAAACCAGTCTCTTGAACCTAAACCAGTCTCATAGTGGGTCAATGTTTCACCAGTTTGCCCACCAATGGCCGTACAAGATCACTAGAAACACTTATTCTTTTGTTGTTTTTGTCAAAGCGGTAAGGTGCCGGTCACCCTCCAGACCGCTAGGTGGAGTTAGTGCACGTACAGTTTTAGGCGGACTGCCATAAAACCGCAAAGTAGAAAACACGTTTTGAGCATGTGCACGTACGCACGCTGCTTGATCTGAACGCTGCATTCGGGAGAAAAACATAAGAATCTTAATTTTTGATCGGGTTAAGGCTGTTTTCTGGGCAACATGAGACCAGGTAGAGTACCCGTGCTTGTTACAATGACGAGTTGGACATGTTCAACTCATGGTTTTTATTTGTCTTTACGGGCCTGGTTTGGATCGTGTGTGTGTGTGTGTCTGGCTACAGCGCCCTGCATGTCCGGGAACATTATCATGGAACGTTACCGTTCTCAGTGTTCAAGCATTAAGAAACGAATGGCTAGGATCTTAAGTGAGCTCAAGAGACACAACTGTGTTGTTAGATCAAACAATTAGACCGTATATTATCATTGTTAGTTGTAAACGGCTAAGGCACGTGCTACGGACTCACCGAAGTACGCGAGCAAAACACAGGAAAGTAAAACTTTAGTGCATCAACTCAGAAAACACGAACTGTACAACTCGTGTGTGTGGCTAGCGCGTCACCAACAGAGGAAGCTGATATTTATCAGCATGAAGAACATTAAATCCTAAACCCTTGAATGGTGAAGCCACTTTCCTCATCTAGAGGTTCCTTTGCAGCAGAGTTGAGTTTTTGCTGTTACAAAGGTTAAAGTAAAGTTCGATTTATGGATTTTTAAGTTTAGAAAACATAAATCAATAGTTTAAAAACCTTTCTGGGTAAAATATTTTAATTGGTCTTTTTGAGATAAACTTTTAAAGATTTATTTCCAGAAAAAAAACAAGTTGTCCTCAGAGGGAGATGATTGCTTTACTGTCAGTGACAAGTAAACAAGTACTATTGGCCCATATAAAAGTACAATGACATCATTTAGAGACCACTGTCTCCTGTTTAAATGTGTCTGATGTGTCCTTCTGTTTAAGGTTTTCGTGGGGACAGAGGAGGAAGAGGAGGTGGGGGACGAGGACGAGGGGGTTTTGGTGATCGTGGAGGACGTGGGGGGTTTGGTGATCGTGGAGGACGTGGAGGAAGAGGTGAGGATGCTGTCGAAGGCACAAATGTGTTAATTTTAACACCTGTGAGCTTGTTTAAACAGAAGCTAGCTCCTCTTCACCTCAGTAGGCGGGCTCTGATTGGTTCTCTCACCTAGTCTGAGTGGTCTTATGTCTGTTACTCGCATCTTTCCCGTCTTTTGAATGGGTTTTTGTCCTCGCCATCTTTAATATAATCTTTTATTTGTTCAAAAATGTCTGATCAATTTAGTCATTTATCCAAGATTTTTTGCTTCATTTAGTCCACAAAAATGTTTTGACAAAATAATTCACCTCAGTGATAGTTGATGTTAAACGTATTTCCTACTCATAAATGCAGCACAGATTCCAATGAGACATTTTGTTTTTCAGGTGGGGGGTTTCGGTCCCCTGATGGTGGAGGATTTAGAGGGAGAGGAGGCGGCCGAGGCACTCCTAGAGGAAGAGGAGGTAGGGGTGGTGGCAGGGGCTTTGGAGGAGGGAAGAAGGTCTTGATTGAGCCACACAGACACGAAGGTTTGTATTTCTGCTTTGTGATCGAACAATCCAATATTTATCTTGCACGTTAGTTAGCGATTGCTGGTCTAGAATGACCTAGTCCAGATGTGAAAACTAAGGATTGTAGTTTTAAAATTAGAGCAGGGTAAATGAGGCTCAGGGTGTCCTAAAAATCAGTTTTCTGAATCAGGAGCTAGAAATGGAAACCAGCTTCAGCTTTGTTCAGTGCTGTAGGATCATAGCTATACATTTACTTATCTGTTTTGCCCGTTGAGAATTGGCTGTATGTTTAGTCTAGTGGTGGAGTGTGTGCAGGAATGAGTAGCAGCAGCCACGGCTCCTCTTTAAGCTATGGGTAATGGTTTTAGATGTGAATTCCAGAAGTACTTGACTTCCATTCTTACCTAGAAAGTTGTAAAACCCATCGTGTGGCCAAATCCTTGCCTGCAGAGAAGACTGAGCCGGCTTCTCCATGTAGAACCATAAGGGGTGTTTCTTGATGTCAAGGCGCCTGGCCTCGAAAGGCGATGTCTGGCTAGGGCAGACGCCTTTGCTTACGAGGACACAGTCCTTCTTTGGTCAAAGAAAATGGTTAAATAGAACAGACTTGCATCATGTGACTGCAGGTGAAATGTCTTTGGAGGCGGCTTATGGTAGAGAAGTGGACATTCACTTCATGGGAAACAGCTCTAGTAGACATTTCTGCAGTCAGCATTCCAATTGCTCGCTCCCTCAAGGGTTGTGACATCGGTGGCGTTGTTTTGTTTGATCAAACTGCACATGGCAGGGTGTCCTTTTATTGTGGGCAGTAGGGATGCACCGATAGATCGGCATTTGATCGTAATCGGCCGATAGCGCCCCTATCGGTTTTGATCGGAATTTTCAAAATAGATCAAAGCAGACCGATCAGCCGTAGGGATATCACGGTAACCAGTGTAGCATTAAACCCCGGTTAAAAAAAAGTTGACAATAATAACCGTCTTGTTTTTTAAAAAACTATATTATCTTGGTGGGTTTACCGTGGCTGCGGTGTAGGCGCGGTGACCCTTACCAGCCACCGTATCATCGGCTGAAGTTGCCGGCGGCACATGCGCGCTTTGCTGTTTACAACCAAAACTTTCTTGAAGCTAAAGCTGAAATAATGGCCAAAGGAGGAGACGGCAGCGCTCAGGAGGACATTTATTATCCCTCAAAGAACGCAAAGTCGGAAGTACGGGCATATTTTAGATATTTGAAGAATGCCGAGGGAGTTTATAGAAGACGGATGGCTATCCTGTTTGCAGCACGTGCAGAAAAAGTGTCTGTGAAAGGCAGCAACGCCTCGGAGAGAGACCAACTCTTATCTGCCCCTGGGAGCCCCGTAATGCATAGCATTATTTCAACATGGCGGTGTCCGCGACACGGTTTATATGCAGGTAGCGGCACTGCGGCTGCTTTATATAGCGACTCGTTGCATTCTCCCTCAACCCAAATCCTCGGATCACACATTTTAGCTAAAACGCTAATGTTAGCTTGCCTTACGTTGACTGTAGAGTTGTGGGTGATGGTCACGCAGATGTGTCATGAGATTTGAAGCGTTGCTGCCTTTCACAGACACTTTTTCTGCACGTGCTGCAAACAGGATAGCCGTCTTCTATCAACTGTCCCTCAGCATTCTTCAAATATCAAAAAAATGCCCGTACTTCCCACTTTGTCTTCTTTGAGGGATAATAAATGTCCTGAGCACTGCCGTCTCCTCCTTTGGCCATTATTTCAGCTTTAGCTTCAAGAAAGTTTTGGTTGTAGACAACAAAGCGCGCATGTGCCGCCGGCAACATCAGCAGATGATACGGTGGCTGGTAAGGGTCACCGCTAGGGCTGGGGGTAAACGATTATTTTTAAAACGATTATTCTGACGATTATTTTATCGAATAGTCGACTATTCTAATGACTATTTAGAAAATTAATCTAATGATTATTTTTCTATTGCACAATTAACAAAAGCCAGAAAATCTCAAATAAATTGATAAATTCTTACTGTAAGAGAATAAACACTACAGGCCTTCCATTTTGTATAACACTGCTTTTATTGTGTTGTGGTTGGTTATGTTCTGGTGACGTGGAACTTGGGAGTGCAGGCTGCTGCCTGAGAGGTGGTAGAAGATGGAGTGTCTCCATGCTGCTTTGTTTTGGTCACTAATGTGCGTGAGGCGAGTGGTCTTACGGGTTAAACCAAACTCAGGTGATATTTTACACTAAACCGAAAACCCACAACACTCTAAATGTAATAAAAGGGAGATCTACACCACAAAAAAGATGAACTCTAAACCAAAACGTAACAGCTTATCCCAACGCAAGAAGCTGTTAGCGAAGATGCTAACAGTAGCTTTACCAACATTAAGTTCAAGTTACCAAGTTTAAATAAACCAAAAACACCCGGCAGCAAACAGACCAGCACGGAGGAGAGACTGCTACCACCAAAACAGCTCTCCTAATGTCTGAAAGAAGCTCCTTGATGAAGGGAGAAACGCTCCCGGTGATTTTCTACATCTGCGATAGACACGAAGCAGCGCATCTGACCCCGGAAGTTGTTGTCCGTTGCCGGGAGACGAAGGCGGGCAAAACAGGAAAATAATCTAGTAGAGGACGGACGTTGTTCCGGGTCTTCGGTATTTGGCGGAGATGTTAGTGAAGGCGGAGAAGAGGGCGAACTAGAGGAAAAACAGGCAGATTCCTCCTCTATTTACAAACTCCTGGGGATGCAACAAGTGGGCGCGGTGCGTCGACTTCCAGATCTGACGTCGACAAATTTTTAGAATCGAGCCGTCGACTTCGTCGAGGCTTCGCTACAGCCCTAGTCACCGCACCTACACCGCAGCCACTTTAATCCACCGAGATAATATACTTTTTAAAAAACAAGACGGTTATTATTATTGCCAACTTTTTTTACCGGGGTTTACCGCTACACCGGTTACCGTGACAACCCTAATTGAGAAACGCCCTAGGTAGTTGGCTAATGCTGGTAGCATGTTGGGCCCTTCCCTTGCTGAAATGATTCACCACAACAGTAGCTGTTGTATGTGGAGCGAGTAAGCTAGAGAGTGTTTGAGCTCTAACTTGTGTGTTTTTTGTCAGGAGTGTTTATCTGCCGAGGGAAGGAGGATGCTCTGGTGACCAAGAATATGGTTGTAGGAGAGTCTGTCTATGGGGAGAAGAGGATGAGTGTGGAGGTGAGAGAGAAGTTTTGTCTGGATTGCATCACTAATCGCTTTTCCTTACAATGATAACGGCTGGGTGTCCATCCTTTAGGAAGGGGAGACGAAGATTGAGTACAGAGCATGGAATCCTTTCCGCTCAAAGTTGGCTGCTGCCATCTTGGGAGGAATTGACCAGATCCATATCAAACCTGGAGCCAAGGTCATGTATCTGGGCGCTGCCTCTGGTACCACTGTGTCTCACGTGTCTGACATCGTAGGTCCGGTAAGTTCAACACTCAGTGCGACGCAACTAATGGTGTGTTGTGTGTGTGTGTGTTTACAACAGTTGTCAAATACAGACCTTGACCAAAATGTATTTATGTGTGCACTAGGGTTGGGCGATGGGACGAATTATTCGACCATCGACGATGGCTTGAGCCATTAGTTGTTTTTTTTACAAGAGGTGATTTGTTTATTTGGCCTCGAGTAAGTTTGTAGCACGTTACGCACAGAGAACATCGCAGAGCTAACAATCAAGAAAAGTTTTCCTGCAGCACACATGAGCATTATCTCACATTTTCTCTACATTTGCAGGTGTGGAAACTTTTAACTGCCTGAGCGCCATTGGCGGTAAATGTTCTTGTCGAGCAGTAAATAATTGACGACTTACCGCCCGGGTGGTGCCCAAGCTTTGTTTGTCATTTTTACCGGCGTTCACCTCCCCCTGTGTCCACACGTTTGGGATACATCGTGGCCGTGCCCTGGGGGTGCAACCAACATTGATCCGCAATCCGTTCAGATCTCGCTCTACGGTTGGGCGCGGTTCGCGGATCGGCCACGTGAAGGGCGGAGGCACTACCTGTTCCATTTAAAGGAGAAACGCTTGAAGAGGAGAGGAGCTTGAAATACCTCCTGCATCATTTAGGTTGCATGTATGGGAGAATTTTGACTCCCTGTAAAACACAATGATGATACAAACGGCAAGAATTTACACACGCACGCTCCTGCAGTCTGACGGCTCAGTAGCCTGCAGGTACAGTGTGTGTCACACACTCCAGTTAATGCAAGAGTGCAGAGGTGTGGACTCAAGTCACATGACTTGGACTCGAGTCATTATTTTAATGACTTCTGACTTGACTTGATAAAATCTATAAAGACTTACAACTTGACTCAGACTTGAACACCAGTGACTTGCGACTTGAATCTACTTGCATCTATTGACTTGATGATGACTTGAGCATATTAAATATTTTAGCACAAAAGTGGCACGACATGGACAAAAATCATAAATCATTCTTCATTCTGGGTTTGATCTTGCTCTGCTAAATGCAGCAGCACTTTGTTCATAATCAACTTCAGTTGCGCTTTCTGCTTGTTTGAGCAAGTAAATGAAGCTTTAAGAAGCTTTATTTCTGGAATTTATTTATTATCATTGTCATTAAATTGAAGTTGGACAGATGACTTGAATATGACTTGAAAATTCAAAGTTAAGGACTTGACTTGGACTTTCACATCATTGACTTTGGACTCGAATTGGACTTGATTGTCTTTGACATGGACTTGACTAGAAAGACTTTGTGACTCGCAAAGCAGTGACTTGATCACACCTCTGCAAGAGGAAGCCGGCTCTGAGAACCGTTTCTTTTGCGACTCACTACATCATTTCCTTTCCTAATGTCCTGAAGTACAGTCCGGGGCGCAGGCGGAATGTTTTGCTAACCTGCAGGAAATGTCAATGAAAGTTACCCAGAAAGTAGCTAAGGGTTACCGTAAATGTTTCTAGGGTGTTCGCTAGGTACTTTTAGGATTTAAAAAGTCAAGAAGGGGTCTGAAAAGCTGTTGGAAATGGCGACAAAGTAAGTTTATGTTTATTCATTTATCAGACTCTTTTATCCGAAGCGACTTACAATTTATAACCTATAGGGCATGTTGTGATCTGTGGGGGAAACCGGAGTACCCGGAGGAAACCCACGCATGCATGGGGAGAACACGCAACTCCACGCAGAAAGGCCACAGCCGAGCTAAGTTTCGAACCTGCAACCTTCGTGTTGCGAGGCAACAGTGCTAACCACTGCGTCACCATGCAGCCCATGGCAACAAGTTGGCAAAACTGTGGGAGGAGCGCTTGATTTGCAACTCGGAGTAGTGGAAGAGAGAGGAGCAAATAATCGGCTTGTTTTGTTTTTATAATCGTTCAAAACTCAGATCATAATTGTGATTAAAATTCGATTAATTGAGCAGCCCTACTTGGTACAGGTCTAGAGGGGATCAGGCTTTCTTGGTCTCTGGAATGAGCTTCCACTTGGTATCAAACAGAGGGCTGTAGCGAAGCCTCGATGACGTTGACGGCTCGATTCTAAAAATTTGTCGACGTCAGATCCGGTAGTCGACGCACCACGCCCACTTGTTGCATCCCCAGGAGTTTGTAAATAGAGGAGGAATCTGCCTGTTTTTCCTCTAGTTCGCCCTCTTCTCCGCCTTCACTAACATCTCCACCAAATACCAAAGACCCGGAACAATGTCCGTCCGCTACTAGATTCCTTTCCTGTTTTGCCCGCCTTCATCTCCCGGCAATGGACAACAACTTCCGGGGTCAGATGCGCTGCTCCGTCTCTACCACAGATGTAGAAAATCACCGGGAGCGTTTCTCCCTTCATAAAGGAGCTTTTTTCAGACATTAGGAGAGCTGTTTTGGTGGTAGCAGTCTCTCCTCCGTGCTGGTCTGTTTGCTGGGTGTTTTTGGTTTATTTAAACTTGGTAACTTGAACTTACAGCTTCTTGCGTTTGCATAAGCGGTTACGTTTTGGTTTAGAGTTCATCTTTTTTGTGGTGTAAATCTCCCTTTTATTACATTTAGAGTGTCGTGGGTTTTCGGTTTAGTTTAAAATATCACCTTGAGTTTGGTTTAACCGCCCAGTTTAGAGTTTGGACCTTTGGAGATCCATATTTTGGTCCAGAACCCTGTAATCTTTGCCCAGTGGGACATCTCTACTTATTTGTACTTTTGTTTTAATTCCCCACAGGCAGAATTAGTTTTATTATTCCCAACCTGTGGATGGAAAGATTTATGTTTTTTTGTAGTTGTAAATAAACCTGATCATCATTTTAACTTTTAAATCCCGTTATTGTCCCTTACTTTTTGCACACGAGCCAAACTCCACAGGAAGGGTCGTAACACCACTCGCCTCACGCACATAAGTGACCAAAACAAAGCAGCATGGAGACACTCCGTCTCCAACCACCTCTCAGGCAGCAGCCTGCACTCCCAAGTTCTACACGTCACCAGAACATAATCAACCAACACAATAAAAGCAGTGTTATACAAAATGGAAAGACTGTAGTGTTTATTCTCTTACAGTAACAATTAATCTTTTTTTTTTTTTTTGAGGAATTTATTAGATTTGGGGGTTTTTATTAACTGTGCAATAGAAAAATAATCATCAGATTAATTGTCTAAATAGTCATTAGAAAAGTCGACTATTCGATAAAATAATCGCCAGAATAATCGTTTTAAAAATAATCGTTTACCCCCAGCCCTATCAAACAGTCGCTATCACTGCAGGTCTTCAAGAATCGCTTAAAAACTCATTAAGCTTTTATGTGACTTAGTTTTTAGATTGATTATTTTTGCTTTACCTTTTACATCATCCTATTTGCTGCTTTTACCTTTTGTATGCTGCTTTTATGTCCCTTTTATTGCTATCTATGATTTTAGTGTGTGTTCAGCGCATTGGGCTCCCGCAAAGGCAGTGGAAGGCACTTGGCTGATATGGAAACTATTCCTTTTTTATTTTTATTATTTATTTATTTTTATTTTTTTCGCATGTGGCCCGGCCCTAGCCACAAAAATACAACAATGGACAGCTATAATATTTAACATGTTTAAAGGTGTGGTTCACGTGTTTAATCAATACAGCTGCAGTGGTCTCTAGTAGGCGTGAATGCCTTGTAAGTCATATTCTGGGGATAAAAAGCACCTGTTTCAGGATCTACAAGTGAGCCACCTCACAGCTGAGCTGAACACGGCAGGATTTGTATTCTAATTTCTGGCTATTTAGACACCTCACTCCTGATTGGATAACAGCAACGCGACTCTTGCCACTGACTCAAATGTTGATGTTTTATCTCCACAAATAACACAAACATGGAGAAACTGCTGTGTGGTGGAGTTGCTAATGCTAATGGTTAGCTTCTACTAGACGAGACATTCTCTGCTGTTTCCTGGAAGCTAAACCAACAACCTTCCCCGTCGTGAGCCAAGATGGGCGCGTCCATGAATGTTAAGTGACAGTGTGATGTAGATCTGTCTGGATTTCCAAATCCTAGAGTTTCACCGTCTATTTTCTATCAGAAGCTAATGTAGGAGATAGGTGTAGGAGACTTTTTTTTATTTTCAGCCTGTATGAAAAATTCAGAATAATCGATTTTTATTTAGAAACAATATTTTAAAAGTTTTTTCAGTGTTCCACACCTTTAATAACCATATTAGGTTGTCAGTGCTGTACCTATAGGCTCAGAGCCATAACCCTGACCATACTTACTTGTTTCTTGTGTTGTAGGAGGGACTCGTCTATGCTGTGGAGTTTTCTCATCGATCGGGTCGTGACCTCCTCAACGTTGCAAAGAAACGAACAAACATCATTCCAATTATCGAAGACGCAAGGCATCCCCACAAATACAGGATGCTGGTTGGTGGGTAGTCATGTGGGCCAATTTAATCAACAACCTAGATCAGTGCTGTTCACAATGCAATAAAACTATTGGGTTTTGGGCCCTTATGCCCTCTCTAGTTAGCAGAAAAAATGTTCTGATGTGGAATCATGTTTTTTCTGTTAAAGAAAGTTAAAAGTTACGTCTTAACCTATTTTTGTTGCTGTGAAAGAAAAGTAGACACCTTAGGGGTGTTCCCATTGATCAGCTGCTGATCAGTATTGGCTGGTTTCCAATATAGATCAATGTTGTTGCATTCCAATCAATGCCTTTGATTGCCAATCATACAGTCTGATCACTTGTAGCTCATATTTTGTAACCTACAGACCCTGTGTGCAGCAGAGCTGTCACAATACTACAGTTTATTGCTCTCAACGACAACAAACCTCGTCCCTGTAGACTGTATCATCGTCATCTTAGTCCTACAAGAGTTGTGTAGGAGTTAGTGGGTGCCATCATAAGTGTTAATGGTGTAAAGGGCTCGGCACACAGCCCTGCGGTTTACCTCTGCTGTAAAATCCCTGATCTGTAGTTGGTGAAGGTCGCTGGAAGCCAGCAGCATCTAACAGGGCTGATGTTCCTTTACAGGGATGGTGGATGTCATCTTTGCTGATGTGGCCCAGCCTGACCAAACTAGGATTGTTGCTCTGAACGCTCACAACTTCCTGAAGAATGGAGGGCACTTTGTGATCTCCATAAAGGTACATCCAACCTTTAACTTGAGCTAGATTCTACCTTACTGCCTCTGCTTGTATGTGCTGATTAGTAGGAATATTTAAGTACTCTCTTGAGTTGATGTTTTAGAAAGTAGGGCTGCATGTTACAGCAGAGGAATATCAGTATGACAAAGAGCTGCTGGCACAAGCATAAATCATGTTAATGACTGATGGAAATGGTCACTAAATGTAGAGCGTTTTACTTATTCTTGTGTTTGAGGCCTTTCTGTTCTTTTCCTCTTAAGGCAAACTGTATAGACTCAACAGCTGCTCCAGAGGCAGTTTTTGCTGCTGAGGTGAAAAAGATGAGCGCAGAGAACATGAAACCACAGGAACAGCTGACCCTGGAGCCATATGAGAGGGACCATGCTGTAGTGGTGGGCATCTACAGGTAAACAAACCCCCCAGCAGAGGCCTTCACATACTGATTTCAAAGGGCCCTTCTGGGTAAGACAAGTGTTTACATGCACATCTGGAAAACCTGAATGATTGCCTTAAATAGACAGACATTGGATTTTTAAAATGCATGTAAATCGTTAGTCTGGCTGACTGGCAGAACATATGTAGCGACAGCCGCGGAGCAGATTGAACGTCTCATGGGAAAAGCTCCCCCAACAATATAAATGTAAGTACACCCGTGGCTGAGGGAGCGCAGAGATACTCTGCAAACTTTCCTTTGAGTCAGGGAATTACGGGAAATGAGTTTAGAGGTGGTGACTGGATGAAGAGGTGGAGGACAAACTTGTCTTTGTTAAAAAGTCTCTGAAATGCATCACCGCAATGTAAACACACTAGAGACGTGACTGCATTAATGGCAGTGTACCCCAGAAAAGTGCGATGCCCTCTGCTGTCCTGGTGGAGAATTGCTTCACAACACACCAACAGAAGTGCAAAAGGAAAACGTCTCCTTCAGTGCGTGTGAGTGCACACGTGCTGATGGAGATGTATAAATCAGGCTTTACACCTGTCAACCCATCAAACTGTACAGTACGTACCAAATAAGCTGTGCTGCACCATTCTGTCTGCTTCAGTAATCTAACGCTCTAAATGTCACAGGTGCTAAAAATCCCTGATTGTCAGTATTGTTTTGAAAGTTCCTGAATTTTAAATAGTTTTCCCACTGAGGCAATGCTGGTCACTTTGTTGCCTTAGGAGTGGGAGAGGTTTCTCAGCAGCATTTATTTATTTATTTTTCTGTGATATTGCTGCTCAGATATCCCTGGCAATGTTAGCTTGTACAGGTATGTATATGTTCGACCCATTGTTGGCATCTTTTCTGCCATAAATCCTAGCATAAAATGTCGTTATGTTTTCAGTTGTTTGACAGTACCTTTGAGTCTGGTTATCTGCGACCATCCAATTCTGTGACTCTAGAGGGGAGCCTGAAGAAAGGGGGCTGGAACTTTTGAATACTTTTAGTATTAGTTAACCTGCTTGAACGACTTTTCCCAAGAACATCTTCAACGTTTTTAATAAATGAAATGATCACCAGCAGGAATTACACAGTTGGTGTGTTATTAGAGGTGTATGTGGTGTGTGTATAGACTAGTTAGGGTCAGCAGTGATAATATTCTCATGAATGTGTTTTGGGGGTTTGTGCTACAGAGTGAAATAGTCAGCGGGTCATTCTAGGTGTGGTCAGGGTTTCTTTAAATGCCAAAAAAAAAATCTTGTAGGGAAAAAATCAAACCTCATTGGGAGACTTGCAGTGAAGACGTTTGTTGGTGTCACCAGAAGGTGGTGCTGTAGGACACATAGGTGAGGGCTGTAGTTCAGTAGAAGTGAGGGGTGGAATGATGTCCTTTTGGAGAGCTGACTCAGATTGAGAATCAACTCTTAGCAGGTGTGTGCATTTAGTCGCTCACAAAACCAAACCCACCTTCAGATTATTAAAGTGCTGCTGTGGACTTCAATAATTAATATTTCTACAACAGCTGTAATGCTGCAACTTTCATCTAGAATTGACAAAACTCCATGGATGGGAGATGAGGCGTTTTTGACCCCACTGAGGTGTGAGGACAACTCGGCTGGTAGTGTTGTCGAGCTTATATGCTCACATGGACAGACTATGGCCCATCTATCCCAGCATTATGGCAGCTGGAGGTCCCTCTTAACACCCTGTAGTGTTCCCCAGGTGAGTCTAATTACTAGCTGGGTTAAAGCACCAGTTTACACTCATCACCTGATTTCAGGTGGTTAGGCACTCATCACTGATGCTTCGGAGAAAGACCGCCTGCAGGTTAGTCCTGTGTGACCAGGAAACCCGTGACCCTCCTACCTACTGCAGCGGTAGCGACCACAGTGGTGCTGGTCAGTCAAATCTGTCCTAAGAGTTTTAGTGTTGTGGTGGCGTTACCGTGGAGATGCATCATGATGCATCTTGTGTTTTACAAGCTGAGACGCACAGTATATGGCAGGTGCTGTACAGAATACAGAAACATGCAAAGCTTGTTCCCAAGGGTTCAGTTTTACTGTTTCAACTTGTTGTGGGCAACTTTTCTAAAATGATACACCTACCCAACCGTATAATGCTAGCTAACGTGGTGTGGCGTTATGGTAAAAAAATGAAGCAGCTTAGCTTTCTTGGTTTGTTGACTTCACAATCACAGCTCTAAAATCCCCACCTCTAAAGAGAAGAAAGTTACAGAACCTCCTCAGACTCACTCTGTCCTGTTTACTTGCTCACGGCGGCGCACACACACGCACTCGCAACTGTTTAGCTAGCTGCCACAGTTGAATGTGAACTGCATTCCCCGACGTAATGCCACCTCCTAAATGTTTCCCAGCACGAACAGAACCAGAATCAACCAAATCCTTGAATGAAATTTGTAGTTTGTTCGCTCACAGAATGTACAGTATGTGCAGTGGGGTGAGACGTTGAGAGGAGCAGTTTGATGGATGGAATATGATCCAATCATTAAGAACTGGACGTTCACACTGATTGGTTGAGGGTTTTTCAGAAAAGTACATTTCAGAGGCGGTTCAGGTTGTTCCCTTTCTGACCAAACGTTTTATTTAATGGCTGCCACCAGAATGTGAAAAGCATTTAATAAGTGTGTGCAGCTTTGTAGATTATCTAGTCATTTTGCAGATGGAGTGAAACAACTTAATTCGTGTTTATAGAATCTGGTCATAAGATCCTAACCAGTAAGTGTTGGTCATGTCAGCAGACGGAGCAGACTGGTGGGTGGAGGTTGTGATGTGACTTTAGCAAACGCATGCAGATTTGGTAAACCTTGTTTTTCTTTTCCTCAGACCTCCACCCAAACAGAAGTGAGATCATCGCTCCAGCCTCATCTGTCCGGTCCCCTCGTCTCCATCAGCCACATCTGGTTCCCTTTTGTCTCCTTCGTCTGGATTTATTAAAAATGAACTAACCACCCCCTGAACCGCTGCAGGTCCTCCATCTCCGTAAGGCTGGAAGAACATTGCGGATGAGCAACATCCTTGAAGTCATCGACCAGACTAGCGTTGTGATTTACCCTCTGTTTGACACGCCATGCATTTTAAGTTGTCTACGTTGACCCCAGCCTTCAGAGTTATTATGGGATGTTTAATATCTCTAAACAGTTTGAATTAAATACTGAGGTTTTGGATGGTTAATCCATCATTCCTCTTAATTTGGACTGATTCACTCAAGTGACAATTATACAAATAGTGGAAGGCCTGTATTGTTTATTTTTGGAGACAACGCCAATGTTTTAATAAAGTATTTGAAGTTTTTGTACCTCGAGATTCTCACACGTTGAATGACATTATTTGAATGAAATAAAAATCCAGCCGAGCCTCCCTGGTAGCTCTGGTCCGACTCGCCTCCTGAACAAAGGCAATCACCTCTGAACGGATCGGTGTTTTTAGAGGAACGGACAGAGGAAAGTTTGTGACCGTAATCAGATTTGTTTTGGCAGCCATTTTGTGGGGAATGTCTCTGGAGCGCGCTGGATCATACTACTCGCGTGCTGTCGGGAGTGCGCGCTCAATGCAGCCCCTCTCCTTTGACCGATATTAACATCAGAGGGGCTGGTCAGAACAGAACCGGGCCAGCTGGAGCGCTGCCTGCCCAACCGCTCTTTTTTTCTGCATTTCCAAGGTTGGTCCGTTGGACGCATGTAGCTGCCGAGCACCCTGTGCCGACGGTCTTCCAGTTACTATGGCAGTGTCTTATTAGACAGCTAGCATCTTAGCTAGCTGGCTAATGTTAGCTTTTTACATTCAAATAACGGACGGGATCTCTAAACAGTTTGTCATACGCAGTTTTTACAAGATGACACCCTTTCCGTTTAAGTGTGGTCGAAGTAAATGAAGTTGGTTGGGTAGAGGGGAGCTGTCAGCGCTTGCGGCGGCGGGCTGCCAGCCTCTGGGCACGGCTAACTAGTGCTGCACCGGCAACCATCGCCCATCGATATCTCACTCTCCAGCTCCATCCAGAACGGAGTCGCTTACTTCTACTGGAAACTAAAGCAGGAATCTAGGAGCACACAGCCGCTGTGCATTATTTGGATATTCTACTTGGAGACACGAACGACTGGACCAGAAGAGGGGGCTCGGTTCGTATGGACTAAGGAAGACCGGTTCCGAACATGGCTGCTTCGGGGAATTTGGTTCGAGCTACCGCCTGAGGTAAGCGACTGTTGGGGAAAAAAAGGGTTAGTATTTGTTGGAGGTGTTTGCTGTTTGGTTCGTGTGTTGCTGCCGGTAACTCTGAGATGAAAAACGGTCATCCATCCCGTTGTCACCGCCTGCCGGCCTCGTGCCACCGAGCGTCCCCGGTTTGGTCCTGGCGGATTCCTGATGATGGGGCGAGTCCAGTGTGACCAGGCGGGTGGGACTGATGGTTCTGCTTGACAGGTTCTGATGAAATGCTTGTTACTCCGGGTTGGTCCCGTCCTCTCCCACAGTGTTAGGACAGGCGGACCAGGTTTGGTGAATGGGTCCATTAGATGCTGCAGTCTGAGCGGGTTCGGGCAGCGGTACCGGTTCTGTACCCCTACAGCTAAAACCCGGCTTAGGGAGGGAGGAGAATGAATGGACATGCATCCGACTGAGGCATGTTGGTCGTGTGTTCTGATGTACCGCTGTGGCTTCAGCTGAAAGCCAACCGGAACCAGGATTATTGTGATTAGACCTACACAGATTTCTCTGCTGTGGAGACGATTGCTAGGCCCAGTTAGCTGCTGCACCAGTACCAGCCCAGCCCACCCTGGAGTTCTGTTGCCTGGAGATGGCTGCTCCCATCAGAGAGCATCCACATCTGGACCAAGTCCTCCTTCCCTCTGCTGCTCAGTCTGAGCTGTCTTTGCCTGTCCCAGGTGGATTTTACTATTCCTGTCATAAATACTATTACAAATAACATTACTATAATAAATACCATTATAAAACCGTCAGAAAGGAAGATTTGCCTCTTTAACCATGAGGTTTTTTTCAGGGGGACCACTGAGCTACGTGCTGCATCTGAACATGATTCAGGTTCTCACACAGGGCTGCTGTTGTCTGGTCACACCAAGGGTTCTGATCCAGTCCAATGTTCTACCAAATCTAACCTTAAAGCAGCAGGTCTGCTGAGGCGCGCCAGTCTGTTGACCTGACAAGCAAACAATGACATCTTTAAATTGAACAGGTTCTCATCAGTTTGCAAATCTCTCATGCAAATCAGCAGCTATGTTGCAAATACACATCTAAACAGCATCCTCAAAGATGGCCAACACATCTGGTAAAGCCTTTTTTTGGGGGGGTTGGGCATTAGACTTCTTGTCCTTGTGCCTTCATAGTTAAAATAAGTTCCCTACTGGTGGACAGTAATGTCAGCTGAGGACCACCAAAATGCTTGATGGTCATGTAGTCCAATGGTAAATAGTTCCTAGAAGTTAGAACTCATTTTTGATTGTTTCGGAAGCTCTGTTGTTCTGTGGGAAGCCATGTTACCTGTTGCGGCTTGTAGATTTCTGAAGCTTTTCTGCCTCTAATTAAATCTATCCAGGTATTTTAATAATTATTATACCCGTGGGCCTATTGAATATTAATAACTATCATTGCCTACTTTCAACAGAAGAGCAGACTCAAAGAACAGTGGATTAATGATTAAAGTCAGAATTTTCAGATTCTACTGAGAAATCAAAGTAATCAAGCCTAGATGTTTTTAAAATAGATTTTCTCCTTGGTTTACCTAAAAATGAATAAAAAGCTTTGAAACATGAACCAGTCCGACTGCACAGTTTAAACTCAGACTCGGGACTTTTTTATGTGATGTTAATTTCTTTCCCCACAGAAGTTATGTCTTTGACAATTGAACGTTTTACCCTGATATTGTTTCATTTTAGCTCAAGCTTGCTCTGACTTAGGCCATGACAGAATGGACAGAAATAAGGTCCATCTGGTGTCATATCTATCTATCTCTAAAATGATCTGTTAAAGAGCCTGGGACAAACCCCAGGATGGTTCTGTCTGAATCTCTTCTGACACAAACCGGGTTAGAGGGCAATCTGAGACGCTCACAGAAAAGTAAATCATCATTCTTTGATAAGTTTTTGGTTCGTTGTGATCTCATGGTTTTTCCTGAACCTTCAGTCATGGTTGTGAGTTATCCGTGTGCACAGAACCTCCACACAAGATCAGTCGTTCCATTAAAACCCAGTTGTTTATTAAAAGTAAGATCACAGTAAAGGCTCATGTCTGTATAAAACTTATGACACGGGCCAGACGAGGTTGCTGTCCCTTAGGTAAAACAGGAAGAAGCTCCTTCATCTGGATGTGATCTCTGACCTGTGAATACACAGCCGGGAGATGATGTATGATTTACTTTCCTGCTAGTCCAGCGGTTTATGCTGGATGTTGGTGGAAATGGAAATCCAAAGATCAAAAATGTCAAAAAAATAAACTGAGTTTCTCTTGTTGCTTTAAGACGTTTCGGCCCTCATTCAAAAATCGTTCTGATTGAGGGTCTGGAATGTCAGCCCCATAAGTAGCGTACATGCTAATAAGGCCTGTTGGAGGACGCCACTGACCCACCTCTTCATGTAAGAGCTTCATGGTCACTGATCACTTTAAAGAATTTGCTTCATCTTCAGCACAGCGAGAGAACAAAGTGAGTAAATAAAAAATACATTACTTGTATTGAAATCCATCCATCCATCCATTTTCTGAACCTGCTTTGTCCCATGTGTGTGTGTGTGTGTGTGGGGGGGGGGGGGGGGGGGGGGGGGGCTGGTGCCTATCTCCAGCGGTCAACGGGCAATCAGGCGGGGTACACCCTGGACAGAGAGCCAGTCCATCGCAGGGCAACACAGAGACACAGGACAAACAATCACACACACACCTAAGGACAATTTAGACAGACCAATTAACCTAACAGTCATGTTTTTGGATTGTGGGAGGAAGCTGGAACCCACGCATGCACAAGGAGAACATTCAAACTCCATGCAGAAAGATCCCAGGCCGGGAAGCGAACCCAGGACCTTCTTGCTGCAAGGCAACAGCTCTAACCACTGTGTCACTGCGCAGCCCACTTGTATTGAAATCTTCCACAAAATATTTTCAAAATGTGTATAATAACCAGTGTTGGGGAGAATGTTTTGTAAAGGTATTTAGTTACAGAATACTGAATTCTTGCTTTAAAATGCATTTTGTAGTGGATTTGCTAAATCCTGATACTGTAATCTAAATACTTGGAATACTTCCCCTTAAAAACAGCGTTTAAGTCTAGTAAATGTCACTATGTGCGTTACTCCTGCAGGGAAACAGGGCATATTAATGCCAAACATTATCTGCTGACTGGGAAAATATATATATAAAAAATGTTCTTTTTGTTACTTTATCAAAGTGTAAATAGATAATGTTTCTGTAATAAAGGGAAAATGTTCAGCAGGAGCTGCTAACTCAGTGTATTTATTTAGAAAAACAATATATTATTTTTGTAGTTGTTTCACGATGTAATGGCGACTGCACTCTGTTGGTGAGAGAGATGTTACTGATACAAATATGGCAATGGCTCATTTGAAATGGCTTCATCAACTTTGGAATATTTTGACTTGGGCAATTCTTTGACTCAAGAGCAGATAGAGGTACTTAAATTTATTTAGAAAAAGGATGTATTTGCATCTTCATTGACTAAGGCAGACAGCCTTGTTGACTGACATCTGTAGCGTTGAGTATATCGTGTTGTTTGTTATCCAGTAGCATGAGAGAGTTTAAAAGACAAGCCCGCCCCATGACTGAGAGCCACCAATGGACCGTGGCCAGACTGTATATGCCACACAACGCAGAGACACACTTCGCCCGAAATTTATTTATTCAACTTTCGAGTGGAAAACACACAATCATTCCAATGGTATTACGAAAGTAACTGTATTCTAAATACCTTGTTTAAAAATTGTAAACAGAATACACATACACATAATTAGTATTCTTAATACGTAACAGTGGTACATGTATTCTGTTACTCCCCAGCACTGAAAATAATACAATAATGTATTGCCGTTTAAGTACTTTCTGTTCACAAAACTAACATCAATACTTGGTACTTCTCAGCTGTGGCTAAAGGGACAGTCTGAACTACTTAAAAACTGAAATATTTTCTATCTTAGAAAATTAACTTTGTATTTCTCTAAAGTTCCACCGTTCACTGAGAAACGTATAGTACTTGATACATTTTAAAATATGATCAGACACTTTGAGTTTCACATGCAGGCTGAACGTGAAAATATTCTTCTACCCATATTATCTGCATTATCTGCAGAA